AATTAAACCATGTAAACCTGTTCTGGTACTCTAAATAAGAATTTTCCAAAGAAGAGAGAATAATTTGCTACAGTAGTGGCTGTAGTAGTATTATCAGTAGCACTAGAGTAGCAGCAATAGGATGGTATTAGTAGCAACACTATTATAAGTAGCAGCAGTAACAGTGGTAGTAGCAGTTGTAGCAGCTACAGGTGTAGAAGTAGTTGGGGATAGGCATTGATAGTAGCAGCAATAACAGCAGTAGCATTGTTAGTTTTAATAAAAGTAGTAGTATAGTATTTAGCAGTTGCAACAGAAATAGCAGTAGTAGTAGTATTAATGGTAGTAGTACAAGTACTAGCTAGTGGCAGTAGCACAGAAAAGTGGTGGCTGCGGTGGTACTTGTAGTAGCATTAGTAGTATTAATAGAAGCAGTATTGGGGTCATTCCTATGTTCTCAGGGTCCTGTGTTCCCCAGATTTACATGGCACATTATGGGAACATGATAAAGGGTCCTATGTTCCCCCTGTTCTAAGGTTAGGGTTAGGGGGTTAGGATCCTGGGAACAGTGGTACTTGTAGTTGTATTCGTTGCAGTAGTAGCAGTAGCTGCAGTGGTAATATAGGCCAACAAGCACAAGTAGGAGCAGCAGCAGTTGTAGCTGGTAGTAGTTGTATTAGCTGCAGCATTTATATTGACTGAGATATCAGAAACCATTTAGGACAATCTAAGTTGCTCGTTCTGCAGTTAGAGGCCTCCTTGCTGCTTGGTCGGGCTGTTTTCCAGGCAGTAACAGGCTCTGTGGTCACGTGTCTGGGTGGTCAGGGAGGTCAGGGAGGTGGGAAGGGAAGCAGAGGGGAAAATCACATGTTCCCAGGAATGCTAGGCTCTGTTGTGGGTGAGCAGTGGGAAGCTCATGGCCATCAGCATGAAAACATTGGAGGAGCTCAGTTAATTTCAGGATGGAGCGGAACGGACCACATTTCAAGACTGATTATGTTGCTTACAAGGAGAATAATGTGGATATGGGTATTTATTCATGTGATTTAAATTTCTGAAGGCCAAAGCCAATACCAGTATATTTGGACTGAAGCTGCCAATCGTTTCAATTACATCTTACATTATGATGATCACATTGCATGATATGAGTGTTTTTTCCCTCATAGTTTTCCAGGAGTAACGGAAATGGTTAAAAAAACAAGCATGCCGATTGGCCGAAAAGGAGTTCTGTGAATCCACACAGACTGGAGGTGAAACTGAACTGCAAGAACTGAAATTGAATTGTGAGAACTTTGAGGACTAAACGTGAAAGTATATGGAGAGTTGAAATTTTTAATGAGGATCAAATACAGTTTCAGGGCAACTGAATTCAGTTTCACGATATTACTTTGAGTTTCAAATTTATTGGAATTCAGTACCAAACTAATCAATTAAATTTCAAAGTATGCTATTCAGATTGAATTTTTCAATTCAATTATTCAAGTTAAACAATACAAATTCAAATTATGTGATTCATGTTCAGTTTTTTTATGCAATTATTCAAGTTGAGCAATTCAAATTCAGTCTCTAGTGACACATTTCAATCCTGTTGAATAACAAAAATCACAACACATGTCATCAGTCAAACTGCCGAGATGGATGAAATTAACGGTATAATTAAAAAAACCCTCTTCCATGACCACTTCACTGCCTTTATTGCTGATCTTATGATCTGCAGTTTGCCTTTAGCTTGTAGAGCTTCAGCTCACACTGAGAGGGAGAAGCAGGCCTCTGTCATCTCCATATAGAAGCGACCTGCTATTGCCTCTGGCTTATTGAATTCCCTCTAGTCACCACAGGAAGAAAATCCTAATTGACAATTTCACACTGGCTCCTTCCCTCCCCCGTTATTCATTTCCTATCATTAGTCCATGATGGGTCTTAACTGTATTCCATCTCTTTATTAAAATGACTTACACATTTCCTCCTCTTCCCCCATCACCAGTGCCCTGCTTGCCGCTGCGCTTGGAGTGCCCTTGTGAGCCTAGTCTTTGAGGAGTGCGCTGAATTGGTTGTATAATTGTCAGTTACGTAACTGAGTGAATTAGGCAGGAGATATGTTTAAATTGAGGGCACGGAAGATGGTGGCAGTGAAGAATGCTGTGTTTTAGCTTTTTGCCTAGCAGAATAAAGGGGGAGGAGAGTTTGTCCATAAAC